GGCAATTCCTATGGCTAATAACAAATCTAGGGTAGAATAGGGGAATTGCGATAAAATGAACTATTGTTGATTTGTGACATGGACATTGGATTCATCGTAACAAGTTATAGTTCTGTCGAATATCATATAGGGTATGGACAGAACCATGAATAGGTTTTGGGGGCCTACTGGCACTTTATGAACTCCACACCTCAAAGCGGCAGTACAATCAACAAATAATCAAATGTCTGCTTAGTTAAACAAAGTAGAAAATTACTACACAGCCACTTTTTCTATCACCTTTTCCAGTGCTTCTCTCGGTCTCTCACCCACGTCGACTGTCGCAACGTGGTTAGCGCCATTAAACCACTCCCGAATCAACAGCGCCATTTACTATATTATCCTGCATGTGACAACGCATTTGTTACAACATCAACAATGCATATCGATGATTCCTTAGTATCCAGAACTCACTCCGATTTGAGATCTGCATTGAGAAAGAGAAGTTCACTGATTTCATGCCCATCAGACAGGAAGCTCCTTTGTAAAGAAGGGCAGGTGTCATGTCGATCGTTAGACGTAAGCAAATCAGGCTAAGAGCGGAGTCATTTAACAGGAGGCAGGATTTAACACAGATAATGGGATCGATATTTTACTTGTATTCCTCCTCGCTGCTTAGTTTCAGATTCAGTGTTGTCCATCCATCGCTTATCCATCCATTCTTCAATATATCTGGGTCTAATTAAGCTAGTAGAGACGTGGAGGATGGGTCTCTTGTTCGCGCGGTTATCATCTTTATGCAGATATTGTAGGCTGACCCTAATGAGCTTTTTCAAATGGTCTCAGTCTAGTTTTTCCCTAGTTCTTAATACCACCCCGCAAAACACGATCTTGGGTGATTGCCTTTCTGTTGGAAGTCTTCACAGATCTCTCACTTCTCAGCGGATATTGTTCTGCTCCCACTTTTTAGGGTATTTGTACTTTTGAGTTGAGATCACTTGCCGTTGCCTCCAACGCAGCCGCCTTAGACTTTTTGTGGTCGTCACATGCCCAAATACTTTGGAAGTTTTTACAGACAATGTGGAAGACCCCAAGAAGGAGTTAGGAATATAATACCATCTCCCAAGGGTTACAAGGCAGGATGAGAATACAGTCTACTGAGACTCAAGTTTCCACCTAGTTGAAAGAAATAGTAGATCACCACTACTGTGGCGTCCCGAGACTCCCTGAAGACGAAAGAAGACACAATACTCGGGCAGAATGTATTCAGCGCAGAGAAGGTGTCTGGGCTACTGGCATGGCCCAAAAGGCCACCCCACCCAGCGAGGTACAAGGGGCTAATTCAGAGCACAAAAGTGGCGCCTCACCAATACCGAGGGATAAACCACTGTCGTATTACACTACTTTGTGGTGGCGAATATAATATGAACTTCTAAAACATAAGTGTTGAAACACAGGGAAGCGATAAAGGCGTATTACCGGAACAAAAAACCTGTGATTTATATATATTTTGTCCCAACTAAGTAACAAATATTTGTTTAATAAATGACTGTATGTCTTCAAATTGATTTCAAGCATCCTTAGTTGAAATTTCATAGTTTTAGAAGTATGCTATTTTAAATCAATAGCAAAATAGATATGATAGCTTTGACTTGCCATATATAGTTTCAAAATCATCAACATTCTCTTTGGGAGACTTGGCGCTACCTTAAATAGCTGGGCGGTCGTGTGTGTTGCAGCCTTGGCGGCTACTGTTCCTTGCCATGATTGTGAGTTTAAGTCCTTTTAGTTTATTGGGACTTAGTTACTCACGTCGCCTGCAGAATATCGTGACTAGTTTCGTTTTTTTGCTAAACTTGCACGTTTTGGCTGTTTATTTTCGAGTGTGCATCACTGGAACCATTGGCTTTGTGTATGGTGATGCTCTACTTGGGCTGCTCTGATGTCGCATTCTCATTTGAGTAAATTTGGGGACTCTATTTACTCCATAACTGTTTCCTTTTCCCTCAAATTGCGTTGCAATTAAGCAGTCCTAGAAATTCGCTCTATAAAAGACCCCAAGCCTTATGATATTTTGCATTTGGCTGCACATATCTCTTCGCAATAAATCCACATTTTACAACTGTTTGATATTGCGGCTTGATTACCACTTTTGACACATCCCATTGGGTAACTTTACGACGACAGCTTACCAATCTTTGATAAAGAGAGATTATTTCAGTAGCACTACTGACTTGAAGTTCTGTTAATAGGAGATGATGGGTGGCAAGAAGACTTTTGCAGTTATACGTGCCGTCTACGAGCACCGTTATTCACCAGAGGACTTTGTTCGTGAGTTAGATTTCGTCTTGGAAAAAAATGTGAATGTCGTGATCATTGAACCTGATGACTTGGGTGAGGTCACGTGGCGTTGGATCCACACCGGAAATTGGCTTCACAAAACCGCTGTAATCTCTGGTAAGTAGGGCATCCTCAACAATTTCTCAACTTTGGCTTATATTTATGTAATTGGACCCTTCTCCTTTTTTAATAAGGTGCCGTGAATCCATTCAACACCTTTGTTTCATGTTTCCGTCCTAATTTATATGCAATTTTGAACCACTTATGTATTTCTTTCTAGTTTCCCTTTATAAAAAACTGACTTTGCTAATGTTACATTACCAATAGTTGGATTTTTGCCTTCAATCGTAGGCGTTATTCAACAGCGGTTACCTTTTAAAAGCTATCATTTCTTCCGTCAAAAATCACATTATTATAGGTCGGTAGAAGGTAGATCCGGTGTTAATTTTTTGCTACGTCTAGATATATGAAGCGCTTGATGGTGCAAAGGTTTGTGATAAGTGTATTTTGAGGCTGGCACGTTTTTCAGGGTAGGCCGAGGCCTGTTTATTTCGGCGTTTTCGTTTAACCTCACAATCGCCTAACCGTTTATTGTCGATGCTGCTTATAAAAAATTGCTTTTGTGTGATCGATCTACGCACATGAATGCAGGTTGTACTCAACCGGAAAAAATACTTTAAAAGAACTTTGCTTTTGACTGAAGATCGAGGAGTCCTGAAATTCGAGTTTGATCTTTCGCTTTAATTTTTATATGGCTATATCGAGATGGTGGTTGTTGGTTAATGTCTGTAAAGGTCAATGTCCTTTGTTGCGCTTTCCCATATTTAATTAGTTTTTTGTTGATAGAAACAAACTTAAGTACCCCACTTTTACCACTTAAGTAAAGAAATGTGATTTTGTGTCTGCCAGCGAATGCCACGTCATTAGAGGTATGTCATTTCCACTTTATGTACGATGCCCAGTCCGATTTTCACTCAATATTTCACGGTCAGTATACGCAACAAGCCTGTATTTCCGCATGACCTGTTTTGCATTAACTCAAAGCTCCCAACTTTTAATGCGTCAGGTTGAATTCCCACTTCGCCTCATGAACCTCGATTGGTCACTCGCGTTTTAGTTTTCCGGTTCTTTGAGTTTAGTTTTATAGTTTAAAAGGTGGTGTGCATGTTTGCAAGTCTTCATTCTGGTTAACACCATGAACGATCTCATATGATTTTGCTATCAAGGTGAGCAGCACAGCACCAGCTAATGTTGTTTTTATTTAAACAAAAAACTTGGTGCTAGTAACTGTTAAGTGTGTAATTTTGGATTAATATTTAATATTGCTGCCAAACGTTAGAATCCCTGGCCTTAAAATCCCGCAGGTGCATATTCAATGTATCCTCTTATCCAATGTCTCTAAATCAGGTTTGGTTTTCTCTTGCCCAGGCTTGGCGGCTATTGCAGGCACCCTGTTGGCTTTTTTATACGAAAATCGTGCCGAGAGCATCGTGAAGGCGTCGCTAATATCAGTACCATGCGGTATCTCCAGAAGTTTGCTTCCGAGCGTTTTTTTCGGCTTGGTTTCGGCCACGTCGTCGAGTCTCTATGCGCTCTTTTGGCAGTGGGATCCTTGTGCTAAGTACCAGGTGGCGCAGTCACTTTCTGTCCTCCCCGCCTGTGTTGTTGCTGCTGCCTCGGGCTCCTCCAGTGTGCACCCCTCCCCCGCCTCCTCGACTGAAAGCTCGCTCAACCCTCACGATGAACGACAGCGAGGTCGCTGCCACAATTGCTCCTACGATTGTGCCGTTGCCGAAGCTGGTGAGCTCGGACAGCGCCCTGTGGTGCTTATCCGACGGGACGATTTCTACCGCAAAGTCTTGCACAACACTGTCTCCGTAGGTGCTGTGCTCTGCGTTGGTCTCGCTGTCTATCGGTGGCGGTGAAAGTCTCCGCTCCCCCTCCTTTCTTGCCGGTTCCTATTCATTTGTGTACAAAATTAACCACCATTTCCCTCAACTACACTCTAGTCTCATTGTTTTCATTCTCTCTGCTCAACAACACCACGCATGAGTCTGCAGAGTGAAGTAGTGGCCTGATGCTTTCCGCTTTACGTTCCTTTCTGCCGCATCGTATTGCTCCCTTCCATCGTGTTATCATTTGTAGCTTGGGTTGGATCGTAGTGTAGTCCCTTTCTACTTCATTACTAGTGTTCCCCACTCTGAATATTAAGCACTTAACGCCTCTTTTTACTCCTTGGCTTACTTGCGGAGGTGTTGACATTTTGGCAAACAGTGCAATCCACTCCCCTTAGAAGTGCATTTTAATACGGGCGGTGTCGTCATAGATTGCCACTTATGCTTCCCCCAAGGTGGCGCTCAAGATCTGGACCACCTGCCTAAGGTTACCTCAAATGGTCGTTGAGGTACCGTGACAAACGCCGTTTTTTATTCAGGCGTCTACTTAGGCCCGCCGAGTATTCGCGTGGTTTAACGCTGTGGATTCGGACGGTCTATCCGACGTCTTCTGAGTACAAATAAACAATGGGCTTTAAGACTGTCATAGCTGGTCACTTTGGTGGTGTTTAAAAATAAGCGAGCAAAGCTGGTGGTTCCCCACCCCTCCAACGCGGCGAGTTGCGTCATTGGCTCGGTTTTTGTCCGTGGGCGGCATCTTTGTTGTTAATATCATTCGTTTTGCTCCTACGTGAGTTACCCCAGATGTTGAAATAATGCATCTCGATTAATGTAATGTTATCTTGCCGTTTAGGCAGCAAGGACATCACGTAAGCCAAACAACTTGACTCTAATTCCCCGTAAACAACAGAGTGCTTACTTTGATGGTCTCATCGAATTTAGTTTCGGATTGTATTGGCGGTTTTTCATATGGCCATAGCGATTCCGACGATCCTATGCTCATGCAAGCCGGGAGCACACAGATGCTGTAATTAGCCACAAGGGCAATTTTGGCCATGATTTAGCTGGTTCACATCTAACATGGTAACATGCTGAGCAACGGTAGACTGGTAACTACTGAAATGCGATTGGTAAAAATAGATGGTCTGTTCATTTACTCAGATCATGTTAAAAAGTCCAGGGTGTGTTGGGATTTTCTGGCATGGTAATTATTTAAGGTAAAAAGTCGCGCGTCCAAAAAAGCAGTACAATGACAAGTGTGAAAGCTCGTAAATAGTTAACACCACCCTACCACTCCGCTTGTATGTAGATTTTGAGGGAAGTCCTGGCACGTATACCGATGGTTAAGTTGTGGTACCTAAATACAATTGACTTCAACTTAATGAAGCGAACATGAACACAGCTAGGTTAAAGCACTTAGTCAGGAGAAAACAACTTGCTAATTTTGGTAAAACAGCAAATGGCTCTACTACAGATAATCCTGAAAAAAGTCATAGGAATGCAGCAACAAATGCGCAACCACGGGCAAAGCAGGCTCTGGTAGAACCTGATTGTATGCTACATTTCCGGACTACCGGGAAGCCGAGAATGATGGTAACAACCCATACAAGTGGAACACTCCTCCAACATTTATTTACACACTTTACAAAGCATGCGCTCTTAGAAATTCGTAGACAGTAACTCATGATGTCTATCAAACATGGCTTCGACGCGCTCCCTGAAACTACGGCTGGCCTTTGTTGGAGGCAAAAGAACAGGCAACGAAGTTCCATTTGGTACGTTTTCTAGGTCCTCCTTCCCATCGCCTATCAGAAGTCTGGCAGCAAGAAACTCGATTTCCATTGGATGTAATTTACCAGGAATGATCAGGCTATGCAGAGGACCGCTAAGGATGTTAGGATGATTATCTGTATCCCCAGTCAATAAGGTAGTCGATAGAATACCCATTGTTGTAACCAGCATAGCCTGGGTAGGAGATCCTACCCGCGCCAGGCAAATAGCAAGACAGTCAGGGTGGAGGTAGATCTCTGGTTCCGGTTCACAGGGCGCCTCGACGTCTGGATCAGCGGAAGCATCCATAAACCTTTGTCGAATACGACAACCGGCTTCGAGAATTTGATAGGCAGCTTCCGAACAAAGCATGAATCGCGGAGGCTCGTAAATGTCACGATCATGGAGCAAATTGTCCAATGACTTTTCCTTGATCTAAGTGGCGTAGAAAGTTGATTAACACAGTAGTTGTCCACAAAAAGAATGCAGGGACCTAAACACCTAACATCTACTAAATAGGTTGCACCACCAACACGCTAAAAGCAAACGACAATAAAATACCTCCCAAAAGTATTCACTGGGGATATTTTTCAAAAATAAACCTATTTCTAGTTTTATTATGTCCGTCCCAATATGAAATACAAAATTCTAATTAGTGGTCTTAAGTACCTAAAGTGCAGGGGAAAATGAGGCTCTAAGTCACGCACATATACGGAGAACCTAAAAATAAATTAATAAGCAAGGAATTTAAACGCTTCAAACGATGTCTAAACGTTGAATTAGACCCTGTTACCACGCACTTTAATGTCCAAAAGGCATAACGTGTGAAGACCTCGACGATAGTTGGATGCTATTTTGAAGTAAAAACTTTCAGGACAACCACAGTTAGTCCATAAAGGAATAGAAACTGTTTCACCCATGCGATAAAGTTGTAATCCACAGCAGCCTACAGCTGTCATTATTGATGAATTGTGAATGACTTTGTATGGTATCCTTTCCTTAATTGCCCGGATAATTAGATCTATCCCAAGGTAAGCTTAGGGCGTGCAATTACCTGTGTGTGTAGTGGCACAGAGCGGATCTCCTACCACCAAAAAAGCAACATTTTCACCTTTCGCAAGAGATATCATCAAGGAATCCTGTTCCGTAAATTCGCGGTCAGCTTTTCTAACCTCTTTGCCACAAAATGCAGAAACTTTTTCAATTCCATGGGTAAGAATTGATGTGTATGCATCAAGAAAGACGTAATCACATTCTTGAATAGCGTTTAGACCAGCTATGGAAATATCTTCAATGGTTGACAAGCCCAAGCCAATTACATAGAGCATTGCGGTAATTGTGGACCATAAGCCCAAGTGTAACCAACTTTTAAACCTAGACCAATAAGAATAAGACCCTGCGAGAGGCTATTTGCGCACAGTCCAGAAATTACCGCACCAACTAATAAATCAGCACATATATTGGAACATGAATATACAAATAAATTACATAGTATGGCTTAATTAAAACCTTAAATGTGTTAAGACAAAAGCGCGGTGATGGGAATGGACAGTAACTTCACTTCCATTAGTCATCAATGTATGAATACCAGTTTTTTAAAATGAGGTTTTAATTCGAAATGTTGCTAATAAGCTTCTGACACTTGTCTCAACTTTGGCGCCACTAAAACAACTCTACTACATCATACGTAATCAAATTGTACAATACTTCAATTGCCTATTTGGCTTTTTTACAGGCTGATTAGCGACTCCGCCACTATACCTAAGTCCTTTTGTAGGTCGAAAATACTTAGTCCGCTCGAGAATTACGTCTTTATCCGTCTTCAGAGAAGTCCTGGGGAGCTGCATTGCTGGAAGCCGAAAAAGAACTTGATCATAAAGGACTACAATTTTGATTTCTACGGCTGGGTAGTAAGCTTTAGGAGGGTGGATCCGAGAATATGTGATGACCTCTAACAGAAGGGTTAGAAATATCGTCTACCTTCGGCAGCTGCCCCATTCTCGTGATCTACATGAAGGCTATTAACAAATGAAGCGACATCAGCTGTGAGCCATCTGGAAAAGTATGCTATGGAGCTGTTTATGGCACCTGTTTGAAGATGTTAATTTGATGAACACATGGTATCTTCTTCACCCCTCTACTGGCTGGTTAGAACCCAGATTTATGTTTCTTGGCAGCTCTGAAGTGAGAAGAGCGACGAGGAGGAATATGCGCGAAATTCCACCCCCATGGAACTATACTGTTAATTGACTCTGCTTTTGCTCCTATGTTCCTACACCTAGCGATGTATATACCTGATGTCCTGTCCATTCTTCCTTCCCCAATACAGTTTCCATACAAAAGAGAACTTCAAATCTAGTAGAATTGCCGAAAGGGATCAATGATGGTTGACACGGATGGCTCGTGGTCGGTTTTCTTGTCGCACCGACTACGGTGTGGTGGCTGGCACTGGTGGTTGACCAGGGAGAGCGCCAGGAACGCCGCTCAAAAGGTGAGAGGGGCTGTGTTATGTGCTGATTGTTTATTCATCTCTCGGTTTTGGTAACGGAGCCACTTTGGGCCATTGTCACTGTACCTTCGCCGGGCGGACTGGCCTCCTGGCCATATCATTAGCCCCAGCCCCACTGTAGGTCGGTGATTTATGTTCTGAGTTTGTCTTCTTTCGTCTATAGGGGAGTCTAAAGCCACTATAGTGGATTCAGGTCAATCTTTTCGCTGTATTTTAAAAGTAGCGACGCACTGCACCCAGAAGTATTTGCTTGAAATTTATGCATGTGGATTGACTTTTGCTTCGGGAACGCCACTGTTGGATTCACGGGTCCTACGGTACTACTTCTAATAGTTGATAAACTTTGCAGTAGTCTAGCAGTTTTTCCTCTTTACTTAATAGTGTGGAAGTGCTGGCCGGTGATTCGAATTCCTAATCTGCTGACTTGGTCGGATGGAAATGCTTATGGCTTTCAATAATAAATTTACGAGTCTTTTTTTAGCCTAGTGTCTGGTTACGGCTGTGTGAAAGACTTGGGGCGCTAAAATGGCGGCTGCAAGGGAACTTGATCCAGACGAGGACTATTTTAGGTGTTAATGCTCTAATCTCTGTAGCCTCCCTAATTTCGAGTTCTAAACAACAGCTTTTGTAGGAAAACCCACTATATCTCCCCGAACCACTTATCAGAGTGCGACAAGATACATCAACCACAGTATTAATTTTGGGCGGAGGCTACATCTCGGCGCGACCAATATTCCGAGCATGTTCGATGTGGAACGTTTCGTCTTTAGTACTATGCTTCGGAAGAATTCATTTTCGATCCAGTTCACTTTGCAGAAGGCGCGATATTCACAAATTCCAGCCGAGCCTTAACGGGTAGCATTCCGTGTCCGATGGGAATCCACTGTCATCTTTGATCCTGTCTCGCGGTTAGTTGCAGCTTGTCCAGAACTGACACGAGCTCCGCGGCTGACATTAAGAATAACAGGCAGCCACGTGGTCATCTCACTTTTGTCTTATTGCGCATTCAACTGCTCGAGCTCTTCCATCCACGCAGTTCGTACCTTCGTATCCACGATATAGTTGGAGGAGGGGGGACAACTAAAGCCCTCCAGTCTCTCTGTACGTTGGTAGTAAATTCGCTTTTATGCTGATATGGCTTATTACAAGCTCATATATTGAGATATCAACGACTCAAAAATTCTACGAATCGGTGCGTCAGCCTAAAAGGTCATAAGGATAAAGTCTTACCGGGGCAAATAACACTGACACATAAACCACCTAGACGGATGCCTGATTTAAGCATAAAACCTCCAAATATCCGCATCACACTACTATTGGCGGTATGCAGGCGCCCAAGAACTAGAGGAAAGACCTAGACGACGGATAGGTTAGTGCAGAAGTAGTTCTTCAGAATAAAGCAACACAGGCGGGGAATATATAAAGTTCAATAGTAGAGAACTGCAAAGAAGGATGGGTCGGAGCACGCTACATTTGAATGTTAGCATGGATGAAAGACTTATAATGTCACGATCATTCGACCTTCTACATTGCATCAAAGTGAAAACGTTGAGATTCCTGCATCCTTTCCTTTTGATCGGAACGAACTTCGAGATATTGAAGAATAGCGACAACGACAAGAAGAACGATGCAGGTGACCAGTAACGTGATTGCCACATATATGACCTTCATATCGTAGAGAGGTTGCAAGAATAGCTTGGCTTGCCAACTATTCGATGAAGCGAAAATAAAGGGGAAAAAACGTTTCCGCTTGCAGATAAAATGTAAACAGTGAAACTACCGGAAGAAAACTTACTTTGAGGGGTTATCAGGGGGGTACGGAACGACAACCACTTGGGCATTCGGAACGATAAAGGTGAGCTTATGTTTCCGAGCTTGCTGCATGTAGGAACAAAAAGCAAATCAAAGGCACAGTTTTAAAGCAAATCAACACAAGTTGTGCAGAGTTCCATCCCTACGCCCGGAATGTACAGTGAAACTATTGGAATTGCTAGTATGTTACAAAAGTCGAGTGGCGAATCACAAAACTCCAGTTAAAGACCAGTATATTTGTCAAAAGTGGTTCACATAAGCGAAGACTCTCTCATATAGGCTAAAACTTGAGGTAACTATCTCTCCTGATCTTGAACAAGTGAGGTTCATTGCTGGAAATGTCCGAACTTACCTGTGTGGGAGCAGGAACGGAAACGGGTACATTTTCGATGTAGGTCGCAAAGTCACCAAAACCGAAGGTCGTGAAAGGTAGTTGGAGAGCACCACAGCAGGAGGAGGTGACAAACACAGCACTGGAGCGGATACGTCCACCATCAGCGCCTTGCGTTTCGTAGGAGGCACGGAAGCCGTAACCTGGCAGCCCGTAGGGCAAAACACCGTCGGGACACTGACTTGGGCTGCCACAACGACCGGTTGTCAGCATAACCTTAAAATACGGCTGGGTGAGGTACAAAAGTCGCACAAAACGATTTGACATATTAACTGGTAAGAAACGCTAGGATTTCCTCTAATTATGCTAAGCGCATCGAAAACGGAGCGCATCTAAAGGTAGTTTTGAAAGTAATTATGGTGGCAATGTCACTACATTGCTTAGGATGAAAATAAGCACAAACGCGGAAACAGAAGCCTGATTGAACGCTTACTTTCAAAAAGTAGGCCTCCTTTGTAAGCTTCTGCATATAAAGAGAAGTACTGACTCCCCCTCTGCCTTCGTAGGACATATATAAGTCCAAAATACCCTAAAATAGAATATGTAATACAACTCATTAGTAGGAAAATGTTCCAGTGAATTTCACGATGGACTGTGTAGAGAGGGCTGGGGGCAAAAATAAAACTCACATCCTCATTGTAGTCATAGAAAGCGATCTGTTTCAACGTTTCCTGAGATTCAACTCCAGGCAAAAGGTAAGCCTGGAATCGAACCTTCCCTCCGGCACCCGCAAGATTGCGCAGAATGGCTGGCAGAATGATCGGCCGTAAGCCAGAAGTACGAGTACATTTGAGGCCCACCGCAAGGTCTGGATAACCATCGAGATCAGCATCGCCTAGAGAGAGGCCAATGATGGCCGCAGACGAAAATTGGTCGACTGAGGCAGGTGCTAGAGAGCAACTGCCCTCCATGTCTGGAGGGTTCCACTCCACAGCAATCGCCTCCCATACCTAAAAAAAGTAAAAATTTACTAATGTACTTCATCTAGCAGTGATAAGCGGCCCATAATTAACGGGTAAAAAGAAAGAAAAAGGCGTCCTTTCCAGACATACCGCATTTCCAGTCAGTGAGTGCATGAAGATATAGGAGTGCCTGCAGGTATTATCGCTACAACCCGCAATCAACAGTTGGATTCTTCCTGACATGTCTAAAAAATAACGGTAACTAAAAATAATCTTGTTAAGAAGGATGATTGATGCAAACATTACAAGCGATAGTTAAACCCAAAAGTTTCAATATACTTCTGTACATTTCAATGACCATATCACGCAATGAAATTTGTGTATCAGACAGGATAATTCAAAAGCACCACTTTCGTGGAACTGAAATCTCAAGAAACAAATGGAAAATCAGTTTTCCACTAAATATTGTATTAAACATGATAGTTTTAAAAGACTTAAATGTGCACTACAAAAAGCCCGTGCAAATACCAACCATGCAAGAGGTTTACTGGTATAATTTTAACAATCGCTGTGGCTATACCCGTGAAGGCCGACTCACCAAAATCGCCAAAAACGAGTTTCCCTATAGGCCTATTTGCACCTTTAAGTTCAATTGGCAATGGATAAGAAGAGGGAGATCCATCACCTTTTGGCGTCAAATCATTGAAAACTTCGATTGTATCCACAGCAAGGGCTACGAGAGCTGAAAAAAAAAACAATGCAAACACTACTCGCTTCAGACATTGTATTGAGCCAGTCGTCAATCCCTACTGCAGATATTTAGCGTTCGATTAATAACGATAAAAAGCATCAAGCGCTGGCTTAAAAAGGGTAGCGTCATTTGGGGGAAAACCAGCATTAAGAACGATTGCTTCAAATGAGAGCGGAATGTGTTCAAGCAAAGTGTTCCATCAGAAAAAAGCATTGATTAAGTGCTCCTTGAGATTGGTAACGAGAGGTGGATTTTTGGCAATCAATTGCTAACATCAAGTGCTAGTATGCCTCAGGTGCTACTTTGTAGTCGTAATGAAAATCCTAGAAAGCAGTGTAGGTAAACCAAACGGTGTATTATCTCGTATTTTAATTAAACATTATTTGCAGAAGAGTAGAGCCTATACCTTTTTCCATAATACAAACCACTTGATTGATAATTAAATGGAACAGGACAAGCGTATATCAAATATTTTCAAACATCGTAAGGAAAACAACCACAGCAGTTTGAATCGTGTACCACCAGCATAAAAAATTCCAGCATTATGCGGGTAGAATCAACACACTCACATGGATTGGGATTAAAGGCGAGAGATACAAATCCAGCACTACTCAGCTCAGACAAGGATGTGGCTGAGTGCGTAAAGTTTTGCAGCGAAAAAGCATTTGGTCTAGTGCAAAAATGATCAAACAGAGATATAGCAAAAACTCGTCATCGTAAGAAATATAATTCACCTTGCTCCCTGAGTCAACGCCGTTTTAATGAGCAGAATATATTGTCCAATCGTCACAAAGACATTAAAAATAAGAAGTAATCGTATGTCAACCGTTAACGGTATATTATTAAAAGTAATCGGAAATGGTTACAATCAGTGTAAATTTTGCGGAGAAAAGAATTAGTCGAAACAGACTAAATTACCGAATTCGACTACTATGCAGAACCACATTTCCTATCTGATACGAAGAAGGAAATCAGTGTCCTGATTGGTGTAACAAATTAACCAATTTAAAATGTAGCGCTATTTATAGTAAACCATTGGAAAATAAACTATTGAAAGGAAAAGTGCCTTGTGCTTACTCGCCCAATGCGACAACGCGATGATTCTCCATTTCGCCGTAGACATCGGCAATCATATCCGCATTGACATCACACACCAGCGGTTGGGTCGCAAACGATCCAACGGAACGGGTTACTAAAGTGCAAAGGATTAGCCAGCGAAGCAGATAGAAATGGAATTGAGCATGATTCGGTACGATTTACAGCATCTGTTTTGTGCAGCAGGCTTAGAGTCGATATTTTAATGAAAAATAAACTACGTTAAGACACTAGTTCAAATTGCTTTGATTGAAGACTACTTTATTGAAAAGGTATAGAACAGCATAATCGGAGAAGAAGCAAGAAGTTTAAAGGCCCTATCTAACTTGCTGTAGCCATAAAGAATAGCGAAGTGAAGTATTTTACGGTGATATGAAGTAAAAAAAGTATCTAAGATGGTATAAGGATGAGCTTACCATTCTTTCCCCCATACCATACATTAACACTATATTTAGAGGTGTCTCTGAAAACAAGAAGAAAATCTGCTACAGAGTCGCCGTCGAAGTCAGCCACAGCGATGCTTCGGAGAGGGAGAGAGTGCGTCAGAGAAATTAATTTCTTCCTCTCGGGTTTACCGTCAGTCTGCTTGGCATTCGGCGCCAAGAGGGCGTAGAGAGCCGATTCACTTGAGGATAACACGATGGCATCCGTTCGTCTGTCCGTATTAACATCAGCAAAAGCGGCCAAATCAGCATCCGACCAGGAGGCAACCAAGGAGAAGCTCGAGCCTCCAGGACCTATGATGGCCACACACTGCACGCCCAGAAACCAAACAGTCAGGATATACGCGTATGCTCGCATTTTCTACAGAATAGGATGTCATGTAACCTTACTGAAACATTTAATAGCATAATGTTGTTTAATGTGAAAAAGCGTAGAGGCGTGAGATGAAAATGGTTAGCCACGTGTTGACCAGCACACAAAAGCTGGAATTAGAAAACTAAATGCCTTTATTATACACTCTTTGAAAAAGAGAAAAGCACAGAGGATTGTTAAGTACTTGGACAAAAGAAATTATGCCAAACTAGACCGACAGTCAGGACTGCAATCGCTCCGTAGACAAGCAGACTCTGATTGACAAAACCCAAGGTAAGGGAGGAGGCTGAAGGTTTTTTGATAGTACGACCGACTGCTCGTCGATCCTCAGCCTTCTTGAGCAACCTCTCTGGTCGTATTTTTAAGTAAATGTCAAGTGCACACTGAATCAGTTTTTCAACATCGTGCTTCATTGGAAGGTGAGTGAGTGCATGATGTAGTTCTCCGAAATCATCAGATGTCGAACTTATTTCTTCTGTACTGCATATTATCACCTAAAAGGAATGATATTCTGTCAATTGCACAGTCCGAAGTTATTTAATGAAGCCAAATATGACGTATTAATTGCCAACCAAGTAGGTAGAAAATCGAGTTAGAACTGTAACACTTCAGCGCTGGAACTAAGTTGGAATATAAAGACTGCAAGAGACTTTAGGAAATAGCACTTATACGGAGCTAAGCTTTGATCACATAGACTATCTTGTAGATCAAAAACTCACCGAGACAGACAGGTAGATCAACATACTAGGCTCAAAGGCTATGAAGAGATCGTACAACCGGTGGATATCATTGCTGTCTGAAAGGATGTGAGTGAACCAAGTGAGAAACCATGAGAGTGTGAAAAAGGGCTCAAAATTCAAGGCCCGAAATCTGAACCAAATCTCCGGGGATGTAAGCTGAAGAAGATCAAAAACTAGCTGAAGTGTTTCCGACGTAGCATCCATTGTCTCCTGCATAAAAACATTAAAATGTTTGGGAACTAGTTGTTTAAGAACTGCAAAGGCTTCATCTGGACCGAGAACCGACAGAAAAGTGTAGCAAACGTCATGAAATCCCTACGTAGGAAAGTTGGATAGAAATTCAGTAACTTACCTGATAATAATGAAGGTTGGGGTATTCGGCAAGAATAGACAAAGCGAGCCGTTTGGTCTCTGTAACTAAATATTCATTCTCCTCTGATGATAAATTTTTTGGGATCATAGACCCCATTCTACGCACATCCAGTTCAATCTGTCTAGCTTGAGGATGATTCATCAGGTCCGGCATCTCTATGGGGGAGATACCATTTCGCAACTGAGCGCTTTTATCGAACTTCATCAAAATCAAAAAGTTATAACATGTTCTTGTTTCTAATGGAGTACATGGAGATATCTGGATTCAGTAAAAAAGAAATCCTGGAAACAATACTAAGAATAGATCGATCAGGGCTAACATACTAGCAACACTTAAAACCAAAGAAGCACGTAAACAAGTCCAAACTATGTAGAAATCGCTCAGCGTTCCCAAACATCTATAATGAGGTAAAATATAATACTTTTCGACAACTCAAAGTTACGTAGCCCAAATATAAACTGAGATAGAGAAGAGGAGGCTTCCATGATGAAGAAAGCAAAGAATAAAAAGGATAATTACAGCCTTATAAAATTAATTACAAATAAAAGTCCATAAAATTACTGTGTGGGTTCTTAGGATTAGATAATCCAAGCCCAGATAAAATAGGCCAAACTTTACGCCTTACGGTATCATTAACGAGGCCATATCGGGATAAAGACCAGAATTTGAGGCGTTGAATATCATAACCACTTTCAAAGTGCTTAATAATAATACCAGCTTTTTCTGACTGTTGTGCACAGGAAGAAGCATATGAGTCCAACGGCATAAAGGGAGGAAGTATGAGAAAAAGAAGGGACAGACACCCGGCACAATTCAGGCTAATCAAATACAGGGGAAAATTGTTTTAATTTATTACCTCCAAAAGAATGTCGTAATCCGGAAGAAGTAGGAAATTCTGACTTAACATTGCGTCTGAATAAAAAGCAAATTACACCTAAATCCAAAAGTTAGAGGTATTGATAATCTAAAAAGACAGTATAAAGCGTGAAGTGAAAAGAAATATTAGGAAGGAAAAGTTACCATTGCATTTATGCACATTGAAGCCAAAACAACTAAGAAAGGGGTTGCTTGTTCGAAACTACAATTCCACGATTACAAATACGTGGTCTGAATTTATGTGAAAGGAGAGAAAAGGAGGCATTATTAAGATAATAATGACCCCAAAAGGTTAGATTTTCGTGTGGTAATCGCCTTACAATATCTTTGATACGAATAGAGGAGAAGTTACTGTACTGTAGTGTAGCCTTTCAAGACTTCCCTGAAGACAAATGCAGCCATAACATCCGTGCAGAATATGTATTCACTTGGTGCAGATGGGCTGGGGGCTGTTGTGCATACAATTAAGGCATTACAGTAGTGTCTTGATTTAATTCTAGGTACCTTATTAGCTTCAAGGGACTACTGTCAGTCCGTTAACATTGTTATCTGATCGTGTCGCCTATTGAAAGTATAGATCGCAGAGACTGAACAATCCACACAGTCAAACACAGAGTTAGGCAAATATCAAATCACCATGTAGTCTACTTCGTTCGTAAAGTGCTGCCCTCGACATCAGTCTTCCACGACGGTCATCTAATCGTAGTACGTGCCTTGAGAGCCACCCAAGAACAAGTCAGTAAGTTCTCAAGTAAAAGAGAAGACATTTGATCGTAATGTCAAAGGGACATCTAGGCGATTCGGCTGTACTTCGAGTTCGTCCTATTTATAAACCATATTGGGAAGGAGGGATTCATCGGTTTCCTACTACTCAGAGGCGGACTATGGTTCACAGGCAGTGCATTTCTCATGCAAGTCGACATCCGTGGAAGCACTAGCTGAACAAATAAACACACGCTCATTAATTAACACGGATATTTACTAGCTTTGGTAGGCTAGCATTCTGTATCCACTCGCCTTCGTCACTTTGCTTCCCACTTAGTGCTGCCCAATCACATTCATCCGATCATCGCTCGTTCACTTATTTAACACCTACACAAAGGTATCCCAGATGGATGCATAATAGACCTTTCCAAATCGTTAATGTCTGGCGTTGCCTCCGATGTTAGCTGACTTCTTGCTAGATGTGAGATAGAGGTGGCCATCAAAGGTAGACATAATTTTAGGCCCACTGCTGGGAGTTACGGCGGATTCAGACATCCGCAACAGGCGGTCGTCTCCTGTGGCGTTAAGGTGTGGGAACCAGCCCTAGAAATCAACATGGTATGCCTTTGAGTAGGGTTTGCTTGCCGCTGCTGCAACTGTGGCACTGCGAGACTTCAGTGAAGTGGAAATAAGCCCTACCAGTATGGAAGACGAATTTTTGACAATTTGCTCATTCACTTATCTTTTGTCTTCCAGCCACGGTCTCGAGGTGGAATCGCAAACCACGGAGTCTGAAGAGGCCGTGTATTTAAGCACACGAGAAGTTCTTGAGGTTGTCGGGTGGAGTTTGGTGCAAACTGCGATTGTTGATGTCATCTGATTACAAATTATCAGTTTGTTTTTTCGAGAGAAGGCAATTCTCATGGTCACAGCGCTCTCAAAATCCGATATCAGTC